TAGTGACCCTGACTGCTAAACCGGAGGTCGTGGGTTCGATTCCCACCCAGGACAAATATTGTGTGATGAGCACGGTCATTTGTTCTGTGTCTGGGTGTAATTTATCTATAATATGTATGTATTTAGAAATATATAAGTATGTTTATCAGCGGTCTGGTTACCATAGTACAGGCTCTGCCTAGTTTGGGATCAGACGGCCGTGTGTGAGTGTGTAAAAAAAAAAAAAAAAAAAAAAAAAAAAAAAAAAAAATTCTCTACGCAAAATTTCATCGCAGTTGTAATTTTAATAAAATTCAAATTTTAGTGATGTTGTGGTAGTATGTGGATTGTTATAATCGTAGTTGTGATTTTTCTGGGGAAAAAGAACTTTGGAAATCAGCACTAACCCGTTTTTTTTAAATGTCAATTACACATATTATTATGCTGAAAACTCAAAACAAAAACATCTATAAATAATTAAAAGTTGTTCTATGACTTATGCTTAACTGAGGCAATTTACTTTCCTCTTTATTTACTAAGACAATATAATATACAATTTACAAATTTATTTGTAAATAAAGATATTTACAAATAAAATTTATTTTTGAAATATGCGTTTTCTGATTTAAGTTGTCACTATTATCTTGACAGAAACAGGGCTGGCGGTGAGCTCGAATAAGCTTTTATTGCGTATTGGTTAAGTAATGTCCATATAAAAATAAGCATAATTACTTAAAAATTACTTGAATATAATATATTTTTTTACATTAACTTAATGACTAGTGGCTAGTCCTTTTTTTTGCTTGTGAAATAAAAACAGCAGGGTCTGCTGCACCAACTAGGTTTTTAACTGTTAATCAAATATAGTTATGCATATTTTACAAAACACATACATATTATAGATAAATTACACACAGACATACTAAAAATGCTCGTTGTCTATCTTTAGAAGAGACCTATGTTCAGTCGTGGATTATATTTATGGCTAAGGTAGTGGTTTACGGTGAGCCAAATGAGCACAAATGAGCCGACTCGACCGGAGTGATGCCTTACAAAAAACCGGTGTAAATCAATTCTCCTGTTGCTTTCCACCGATTAATTGAGGTAACCTGAGCTCATACCCCCTTCCCCTGATTTTGGAGGGAGGGTTCTAAATGACAGCAAGGCACTTCTGGCAACTGTCCATGGGCAGTGGTAGTCACTTACCATCAGGTGACCCGTCTGCTCGTTTATTTATTTACTAGCTTGTGCCCGCGACTTCGTTCGGTGAAATTTGAAGAGCTGCCTTAGTGGGTTCGATTCCTGGATCGGGCAAAATTTTATAGGGTTTGTGTGAGAGTAAAATAGCCTAAGTTACTCCCTATATAGACAGCTACCGGAAAATAAAATATTATCAAAATTGGTCCAGCCGTTTTGAAGATTACCCGGAACAAACAGACAGACATATAAAAAATATTTAAACTGGTTTTTATTTATAGGTATCATGCAAATAACCGTGTGAGCATGAAACAACTTACTATTTTGACATTACAAACAGACACTTCAATTTTATTTATTTTTTCCAAAGATTTATTTTTTTATTAAGGCATATTTACAGAATAAACACAAACATTTATACACATAATTGTTTGAAACTAAGTTCACGTGCCACTCTAATTACAAATATGCACATCCTTCACATATAGACAACATACCTAATATGTAATTATAAAAATTGGAAAATAGCAACTTGACTTTAGACATAACTAAAAACTTATGCACTTCAGGAGATCAGCAGAATAGATTATATTATTAATAGTGAAATTGCACCAAATTTAACACAATTAAAAATCATAAAAGAATAAATAATTAAAAAATAAGTAATAATAATAAAATTGTACCACATTCACACAACGCCATCTAGTCCCAAACTAAGCAGAGCTTGTACTATGGGTACTAGACAACTGATATAAATACATATATACTTTTTTTTGTAAATACATACTTATTATACATAGAAACACCCAGACCAAAGCAAACATTAAATGTTCATGCATACAAATGTTTGACTTGAGCGGGAATCGAACCCTTTCTACTTATAAATACATATATACTTTTTTTTTGTAAATACATACTTATTATACACAGAAACACCCAGACCAAATCAAACATTAAATGTTCATGCATACAAATGTTTGACTTGAGCGGGAATCGAACCCTTTCTTGCCCTATATACTTTTTTTTGAAAATACTTACATCACATACATTTAACTTACTATTTATTTTTTATTTTTTAAATTCTAGTCAGATCATATAACCCGCCCCACGTCGCTCCCGGTGCAAAGGTGCCCATGATAATGGCAGCATTGCCTTGCTGAATTGCAGCGGACATCCTTTGCACCAGAAACGAGCCGAAGCGGGAGTCACCACTTTTATCCCTAACTCATAATAAGAATAAATTAATAACAAGAATAAGAAAGAAGTGCCATCGATAATTTTGCGCTTAAAATGTTTGAAATACCACGCAAGTCATTATTCCGTATACTATAAAAATATAATATGATTATCAGAAAGATGCTAGCCACGGTTTAATGGACACGGATGGTAACGCATAATTGTACTAATTGGTCTGTACCGTGTTATGACAATAAGTACCTACATTTTAACCGACTTCAAAAAGGCCGTCATATATAGACCGATTTTCAATTCTTTTTCTGTTCGAAGTCCCATTTAAATTTTATATAGATCTGATGATGAGTTTCGGAGACAGAAAATGGAACTCTTCAAAAAATGACAGCAAATCAATCGCGATTGCTGCTAGGCTTTTTGTTAGTATTGTTTGTTTGAAGTCGGTTCAACTTTTTAAGAAGGGTTTTCATCTGTGATGCCGTGCTATCACTCCTGTTGATACATGGCTCTCCCACGTTAAGGTCACATTAGGGTCAGCGAAGGTCTGAAAGTACGATGTAATGTGTGTCCTCACTCTAAAACACTTAACTACATCGAAGAATGAACCAAACTTTTTATGAATGTGATGTACTAGGTCACGGTCTACTAGCACCGTAATGGTCAACTTTGCCCTGCTTACATAACAAAATATATTAATAGACTTTTATTTAGTCTGTTATTTGTGTCAGAAGCTAGAAAATTTTCAATTAACGGTTATGTTGCGTAAATCGGTCTATTGCTACCGATTCTCTTGAGCCTGGCCACTAAACGAAATTATTTATTACAGCGGTTTCGCATTGTACACGCGTGTGCGTTATGTTGGACTAGCTTGGCGCGAGACGTACAGAGTGCCTAGTATGAGTTTATTTCACCGATCGACTCGATCACCACGGTGACAGCATTCGGCGTTGCGATTGGTCCGCACTTAAATCTCCGACAATCGCAAATCGCAGGCAAATTATCAAATCGCTCGCCTTTAGAGAGCGAATTCGCGAAAACGCCCTGAGACCTTCTCTAAGGGTGAATGCGACCAGCCTTATCGATTAGATGCAATTTTCTGTTAATATGTAAATATATGTGTAGGTGCCGTACTCAGGATGGTCGTATTTTAGTAATATTAACATATTCATAATATGTATTTGTAAATGTGTCTTGTTAATTATATAACTAAACATTTTTTAAGATTCTTATTCATAGGATTAATATAAATTAATTCTGTGACCAATTATTAAAAAAGCGTAAATTAGTTCAATGCGTCCAAATCATGATGCATTGTATATATACAAAACTATTTCTTTTTAAATCCATGTCTATAACAAAACCCCTTTTGGTATCCTATCTCCTGAATTGATGGTAAAGGGCTCAAGCAGAAAATAAACTCTTTCAAGTAAAAAACTTATCTTCCACTTTTGAGTAGTGGGGAAGAAAACAAATTTAGTTTACTGAGAACCGCCTGCTTCTTTAGAAAAAGAAAATTGAACACCACATGATAAAATCCAAACTTAATGCATCATAACTAGTACTTCAGTAAAGGTAAAAGTTTTTAAAATTTGTAGAATGAATTTCGTCAAACAACTTAAGAAGTAAACGGTAGGCATGTATGAGAATTTGTTCAAATATTTGAATTTACTATTTCACTACTCATTAAAGTTAATACTGGACAGTACTTTCTTTCCCGCTAACCCGTATCGCATACCACCTAATAAACATCACACAATAATGACATGCCCAAACACGTCTCACTAGGAAATTGCGAAAGTTTTACCACAATGTTATAAATATTCAGTTTTAAGTATTAGTTTAAGTAATATATTTTTTTCTGGTCTTGTCAGGTCTGCTGCTGCAACAATTTATACTTAACGATGAATTTCTTGCCAATCTATTAAAAAATTAAAGCGTTACATTTTTTTTGAAGTTGATTATGATAGCGCTTAATGTTTTTGTTGTCGACGGATCATTAAAGACGATTTATGACGTAACAATATGTCTTTTCTTTTAAATGGTTGCCCTGGATACTAATGGTATTGGCGCTAAAAGGGAAAACTCACATAAATAAATGTCAAGGTTTACGCAACGCCATCGGCATTATGAAGAACTGTAATAGGCGTGTATTGCGCAATGAAATATTTAGCGAATCTCTCTTATTTTCTATATATATGTTGCAAACGACTTCTTTCTGAATGCATTATGCAAGAGAGGTCACAAGCTGTGCTGTCCAGTGTTGCGCAAGCGTCGCCCACGCAGACGGAGAAAATACCACTTTCTACCCATACACCTTTTTGTGTTAATGTTATTGATGTGTTAATATATTATGAACATTTTGTGTTCTGGTAAAAATATTGTTGTGAGTTCTTGTTCATGTATTCGTGTATTAGACATGAGAGTTTGGGCTAGTTGGAAAGATAATGAAAGCAATATTAAGTTTATAACTTTTTTATGCAAAAATAAGAATTTTATAATACAACTAATATTATAGTACATTAAAATTACTATTTACATAAATACATTTAGGCACCGTAATTTTTTCTCTACTTATAACTAAGTTTTGTCGCCGGCAGAACAGGTATCACAATATATCGCGTTTGACGCGGCGCTTAGTAAGGGCCGGATTGGCCAGGGGGTCCGTATGAGGTGCTGACACCACCAGATCCACCGTGTCCACCGCCGATGCTACCGCCGGAGATGCTGCCGCCGGAAATGCCATGACCACCACCGATTCCGCCGCCGATTCCACCGCCGATTCCACCAATGGAACCACCAGAAATGCTGCCACCAGAGATACCACCACCGATGCTACCACCTCCGATTCCACCGCCGATTCCACCGCCAATTCCACCAGCACCACCACTTTCCTTCTGGGTCTTGTACTTGATGAAGTAAACTTCTGGTTTGGAGGGTTGAGTGGGAGCAGCAGTGGGAATGGTGATATCGGGCTGTTCGTCGGGTTTCTTGACCAATACGTAGACAAGGGTCTTCTCTTCGTTCTGGGCTTGAGCAGGAATGATGGGTGCAACTGGTGCGGGAGGAGCTGGTGCCTTAATGAAGATAATTTTGTAATGTTTCTGGGGTATTCCACCACCGCTGACGATTTGTGGGCGCTGTTCTTCGGGTTCTGGGGGAGGAACGTGGACGTAGATGTGCTTTTGGATAAGAGCGCCACCGCCGAAACCGGCGCCGCCGCCGAAACCGGAACCGCCTCCGAATCCAGAGCCGCCGCCGAATCCAGCACCTCCACCGAAACCAGAGCCTCCACCGAAACCGGAGCCTCCACCGAAACCGGAGCCGCCGCCGAAACCAGAGCCGCCTCCGGAGGAGAATCCACCGAAGCTGCTGGAGCTCAGACCGCCGGAGGAGAATCCTCCATGTCCGCCACCGCCACCGCCTCCCAGGCTTATACCGCCAAGGCCGCCGCCATGTCCGCCCAAACCGCCGCCTCCAGGCGCGTTGTAACTGTATCCCGCCTCGGGTCTAGCCGAGCCGAGCGCGGCGACGGCAGCTAATACCTGCAGCACAAATATTTACTTATTTACAACACTTATAATATCATTTTTACAATTCGATTGTTCGGCTTTATTAATCATTGAAACAGGTTATAGATTTAAACAGAGGCGCACTGAACGTAATCGTGATGAATAGAGCCGAGCGATCGCAACACTAGAACAATCCGAGTAGGAAGCGCGAGTGAGCGCGGTCACAGGAGCGCGGGTCGCACAGGTCACAAGTCACTTTCACTGCACACGAATACCTACCAAGAACGCTTTCATGTTGACTCACGGAGGTGTCGTGGTTGTGTGATGCTCTGTACCACAGACCCGTGGTTTATATACTAGTAGATCGTCGACGCCTCTCTCCCAGACTCTTCCTAAGATTCGGCCTTCGGGCCATACGAGAATTATGATTTTAACAGCACTCGTCCAATTCTTCTTCGGTAAAAACAATGTGGATCTTGAACGGCTATTGGACACTTTCACATGCTCTTCTTTTGATAATAATTGACTTGTCAACCAATTGTTTTGACATTTAGCATATTACATTAAGCATTATTCTATTACTTGAACTTTTTCTGTGAAATTCATTTTTATTGGTGTTACCAAACACGATAATGTCACGGAACTAGACGGCTTCCCTATTTTATAATTTCTTGTGATACAATTTTGTATTAAGTTTATTATAAATCAAGTGGGATCATAACGTTGTCAACGTTTATTTATTTTGAAATAGAAGCTTTTAAAGTTAAGTACAATATTTGTACTCAGTAAAAAATACAAAGCAATTACTTAAGTATTTTTTAAAGTAAAAAAAACCCTTGCAATTATTCATAAAGGTATTAATATTTTTTTTTAAAGTACCAAACTACCTTGTCAAAAGTTCAAGCGGCTTTAACGTCTACATTATTAAACTGCAAATTTAATTGATACGCACTGGGCGGTGTAATATATATGTATTACATTTATTTGCTAATTGTACTTTAAAAATATATTGATAATTAACGTTAATGCGGAATGAGAACGACTTATAAACAGTCGTCCTCTTTTGACATTATCATAAAATTTCACTATGTTTTTAAATAAGGCTCTCTTAATAACTTAATAATAACATTATAAATATCTATAGATTTCCAAAAGGGTTTTTAGGTTAGGAACAATTTTATTAAACGTTAACTCGTTGATTCGGATAAACATTGTTCGATGACGTTAAATAGAAGAAACTATTTATTTTCCAAGAATATTTATTTATGAAATAATTTCATAAAAGTGACGGTAATAATTATATTTCTAAAAAGTTTGTTACCTACAGTTAAATATTTTTATTCATAGTGTAAATATCCATTAATATTATAAGGAAACGTACCGTATAAACAAAAAGGTACCGTACCCGATAAACATACGAGTCTCGAAAGTTTAAAAAAGTATTTATTCTGACTTAATACAGAACTAGAAGAACAGGATATCATATTATTAAAGTGATTATTGCAGTTGAAATTTTCAACATAGATTCTATCTTCAAGTCATAGGTCGTATAACTGTACAACTTTATGACATAAGACCGTCATAACAATAAGAATAAACAACTATCGCCATGGCCCAGCTTTGCATCGGTGTAGCAGTTATGTTGGATTTCGTGTATGCTTTGCTTATTATTATTTCATTGATGCCTATTTTCGTTTAGAGTTAAAATAGTCGTTTCACATTTTGAATTCCTATAACTTTCCTTACAGGACTTCCAGACAGGGCTATATAATGCAAAAAAGTACGTTTCTTCATTAGTGACCAGAAAAAAATTCCTCGTGTTCAGTTAATGATGCTGCTTACTGACCCAGCGGTCAGGTAGGTTCAATTTCCTCCACAGGACTAGTAATTGTGTACCTATATAGGATTTTATGATGTCATCATGAATATTTTTTATGACTTAAGCATTGGTTTTAGTCGGTTCGATTCCGACACACCACCCGCCGCAAACCCCGGTGTGTGACGGACCGAGGGGGTTTCCACGCGTAAAGAAAATGTATACCATACTTCTGAACTTCTGAATGCATCTTGAAAGTGAAAGTGATTGTCTGGTCGTATATGTCATAATAAAATGACGTATTTTGCATATTTTTTTAAAGGCTTTAACGATACAAACGATACAAATATAGAAAAAATAAATAGCCAATGAACCTTTAAAAATAGCTGAGTAGTGTGTTTAAAACTACAAATAATGTCCATAATCACAGTAGGTACTTCAACTTGAGCCAAATTCTCAAACTTTATTAAATAAATAATCTTTTGAAAGGTTGGTTCGTTGTTGAGCTAAGGAAAGATTTTAATCCATTCATCATTTTTCCAAACATCCGTTCTTCTTCATGATTTTTCAAGAAGGATTAAGGAATTAATAATTCACACGCGAAACATTCTATCAGTGCATAGCTTTGCACAAATAGAATTTATTCGCGTGTGAATTATTAATTAATTATGAAAATTCCAACAGTATTAAAAAAAACACAACAAAAGAAAAAAAACAGTTTAAAAAAAAGAGTTGATTCGCATAATTCGTGCGAAACGTTCGCCGAGTTGTTTATACTATTATCCCAAGAGTTATATACTTGTGTGCCATCTTATCACTGAATAGGATTTCCAGCAGCAATAATTTTTAGGTTACAAGTAATAATGACGTAACTACCTACTCTATGGGTAGTTTAAAGATGTAATACTCTGGCCTTTCTAAGGCTCTCAACATGTAATATGTATTCCGGTAACGTACGTAAGTAATCGTTATATGCTTAGACCCTATTCTCCTATTTTGTAACATTTTGTTAAAGTACAATACCGAAATCGATTCGGTTCCAAGTCTCTAATATAAAAATTATTTTTTTAACAGATGCATAAGTTACAAAAATACACGACTTTTATGCAATAGAATTTAAGATTGTGGTGCTTTTAGCCATAATGAACATTTACTTACACTTTAGCACATTAAAAGTTATTTTTATTAACATAATTATCCATTAGATGTGGTTTTACTTTTCATAGTACGCTTTTCGACCGAATCACTGATAAGTAAAGCGGGAATAGCCATATCTAGCGCGCGAGGTTTATCGTTGATTTCGCTAGGAATTGTAGATAGACAACGTCAGTGGCTTGCGACAGCCTCCAACTGAGCTTATTTTCGTCGCACGTACGTAATTAGTAACTTAGAGACCAAATATCTTCAATGTTGTCTGTTACAGCAGAGTATACAATTATATTTATTAAGATTTACGATGTAACGTCTTCTCAACCATGTTTTGCTGAGGACAAGATATACCTTTATGTAATTAATAAATATAAAATGCTCATATTTGTGACGCGCAGGAAAACTAACCCAAACATTAGGGTTTTTAAAGATTTTTGGAGAAACTGACCAAGTTTTTTAGGGACTAAAGTTTTACAGCAATACATAAACAGTTGTAATTGTGTATTGTGTGTGAGGAGCGACAAAACTGGGATAGAAGAAAGGGCGACCGGGTTTGAATTCTGTGATGAGAGCATTATTGTGATAATTTTGCTATTTTTGGCTTCTTTAGCAGATTAATTAAAACATTTATGTGGTACAAATACTACGTTTGTTAAAACGATTCCAAATGAATGTCAGTGTTTTTTTTTAAGCAACAATACATCAGACAATCCGCTGTGCTAAGTGTACGTTTTTTAGAATTAAGAATGAATCCTATTTTATCTTTTGGTTTTGCAATTTACATACATTTCCTTTACTGTTCTATAGGTAATTTATTTATTTTTTGCTGATCCGCATATGATTTACTATGTATTCAAATGTATGAAACCATTACCTCTAATTAAAGTAGATTTAACAAAAAAATACGATAATAAAAATTAAGCAAATAATAATATAGTCCTGGCATTCCATTCGCCACGGTGTCAACGGTTTTTCAAGACCATGCCTATTATTTATTTTTAGTTTGGCGCAATAGGCATTTAGCACAAGATATTGATATACACTTCATAGTGGCATGGACATATACAAAGTAGAAATGCAAACACTCTATAACAGAAGGTTATACCACAAATATTATAAATGAGAAAGTTTATGAGAGGCTGCATGTGCGATTTTTTTATTGTATAGGAGGGCAAACAAGTAGACGGGTTACCTGATAGTAAGTGACTACTACCGTTTATGCAACTTCAGAGTCATAAATGTAATACTGAACTTTGAGTCTCTCTGCCCAGAATCAGGGGAAGAGGATTCGGACCCCAGAACCTTCACTCGATCGGTGAAAAGCAACGGAAATACTGCTTAACATCGGTTTTCGGTGTGGAATCACTGTGCCACGTTTTCTCCTATATGCTCGTCTACAGTTTTGTCCTACAGTGTTTTTTTTAACTTAGAGTAATGGAGATCTCTCTTTGGTCGTATGTAAGTATTAGCATATATCTAGTAGGTAAATAGAACTTTTTAAAACAGTTAACTTATTTAGTAGTTTTTGACAGTGTAAGGAAACATTATAGCAAATAATTACGTTCAGTAAATATTCTGGAATATATATCAATTACCAGACACTAATATTAGTATAATTATTGAGACGTTCGTTTGAATACCTGTGAGTACAACCAAATCTATTTTATGAGTTAATCTAATCATTACAACATTATTACTCAATATTTTATATTTTAATAGTTGCAACAATGTACACCTTTACAATATTTAATTAGAAGAGGCTATTGTTTATCATCAACATTAATAATAATCCCATTGTCAGTCGCCATTGTTACGGGTTTACTACTTTCACTAGCACCAAAAGTTTCTTAATTACCGTTTTATAGAAAAACCGTTTTATAGAAAATATAGACAATATTAAACGTCTTAGAATGTTAAGAACCATCATAATAATATGCATCATGATAATACGTATGTAAAATTAAACGTTTTAAATAAATCTTAAAAAGTTCGCAAAAACTTAAAAATAAAATTTAACGGAACATATTCATTAATGGAATCGTTTTCGTCATCTTGAAGTTTTTAAAGATTGGCGACAGGGAAATTAGCATGAGAATTGTTATCACCATATTTCATTTAATAGTTTTGATTAATTAAATAAAAATAATGCAGCATTACATCAGAAAACTTGTAAATACTTCATAAATACGCTATATCTAGTCATTTATGGAAACTCTTTCATAACATGTAGCAGGGTAATTAAAACCATAACGCATACACACATACAAAAACATCATCAGACATGTAAACTGTGGATGAAAAGCCTAGACTAGCTGAGAGTGATAGAAAT